TTTCGAGACTACCAGTAAATCAGTGTAATGAGATGTATTCACCCTATTTCGTCTAAGGTGATGAAGGAGTAATAGTGGAATTTTCCCACAATGATATGAGTTGAGCTGACGTTTTCCATTGAATTTCACATAGCCTTGTTTTCCCAAAAGTTGTTCTCATCCAGAGTGGACTGCAGTTTCGACCTCGCATCGGTCTTATCAACACTCTTCAGCGGGAGTCGAACCGCGACAGTGCAGGATGGAAGCTTGACGCGCTAACCATTCAATGGAAAGCGTCAGCTCAACTCATATCATTGTGGGAAAGTTCTACTACCAGTCATTCATCACCTTAGACAAAATAGGATGAATACATCTCATTACAATAAAAACTACGACACTTACTTCAGTTATGCCCAGTTTGAGAGATAAATTTGGCCCATTGTCCAGATTGGGTTGGTACAAGATAATGCGTTCATGTGGTCGCTTTCATGTTGGAGAGACTTGTTGTCCCATTCGACAAAGATTGGCTGAGCACAAGAGCGACTGTAGAGGCTGTCGGGTTAAAAAATCGGAGTTTGCTGAACAAATGCAGAAAGTAGACACGAGGTTGAATTGTCTCAAACTTGTCGTTTTGCTGATTATGATAGATCTGCGGTTAAAAGCCAAATTAGAGAGGCCATCGGAATAGACCGAATACGGAATACATTAAATGTAAGGAATACCGGCAAGAAGTTAAGTAAAATCTACTTGTGCTTTCTTGTCTTGCTTCTAATCACGGTCACTTCTCTGTGAATTCATATTAAGAAAAAAACGCCCATCAACATTACCAGACGTGCGTCCGACTTTACACAATCGAAGCCATGGTTTAAGAAAATAAAAAAAAACAAAAAAATAAAAAATAAATATAGAGAGAGAAGCAATGGTGGTCATCAAACCTTGATGGCCAAGAGCAGACGTTACTTATGTTGTCCAAATTACTTTGAGCCATCACTACTGGTTTCGTACATACTCGAACATATACAAGCACATACACATACAGAGACAGAAAAATTGACTTGCTTCGAGGTTGACATATGACGGTAGCTAACCAAATAACATTATACCACATTAAAGAGGTCAAATAGAGAGTATATATACAGCTTTTTAGGGATGGGTTGATGAGTTTTCTTGACTCGTTAGCTTGAATTTGC